TGAGCAACTATTGGCCATTCACTGGCCATTTAGTGACCAGCTATTTGCCATTTTCTAATCAGCTATTGGTCAGTCAGTGATCAGCCATTAGCTATTTAGTTACCTGTTATTGGTTGTTTGGTGAACAGCTATTCTTCAATCAATGATTAGGTATTGGTCATTCTGTGTTCAGTTATTTGTCATTTAGTGAGCATCTATTTGCTAACCAGTTATCAGCCATTGGTCCTTCATTCACATATCCACTATTGGTCATTTAGAGGCCAGGTTCCAGCACTCGGTGATCATCATGAGCTACGAGTCAGTCAGAGTTCAGCTATTGTTTATTCAATTATCAAACTTATACAATGAAAAATATTACCAATAGTTTTTCAAAAATTGTTTTTGATTTTCTTAATGTTCACAGCTCAAATCAGGTGTACCCTTGCCAAGTCCCAAAATGTTGATGAGAAAAATTATTGTGAAAAACAAAAAGAAAAAGGAAGTGCCAGAAAAGGCAAGGAAGCGAACAGGTGTGTTACTTGTTATCTTAACTTATTAAATTAGTTTTTCTATGTATTGGCCATTTGTCTGATGATGCCACAAGGAGCTTTAGGGATATACTATCAGTCAAACAAATCATCCAGGTCAATTAAAAAATAGTGCTTGTCTGTTCATGGTACATGTATCAAATCTAAAAACAAAACAAAAAACAAGAGTTGGCTGAGCCATCTTTTTGTTAGCAGAAGTGTTGGTTGCAATGGTTGGTAATAAACCTGTGTTGAATAAACTGGTACTCATGAAATTCAATCCAAAATGAAACAAGGAATCAGCCATTTGTAAGGCTAGGCACAAGACAATCAGGCCCAAAATATAAATAATTATGAGACTACCTACATGTAATTGTTTGAGAGTGAGTATTCCTACATCCTCTTCTTAGTTTGGTTTAATGTGGTGTAAGGGAATTATAACAAAGTTTTTAAAATTTCAGAATCTACAAGACACTGGCCTCCACTGGCCTACATTTTCTGTTTGCAATTGGCTCCTCAAGTCATGCTGAAACATTCCTGTGATGTCTCTCACTTGTTGTCTGAGAAGATGAGATGGGAAAAGCTCATTTACATTGTGAAAATGTCATTGACAGCCAAAATTGACTACTGCTGTAGTATAGCAAGTGTATGTGCAGGCAATACCATGTTTTCGGGAAACATACACTAAAATCGTGTTCCACTAATCATGCAAACAAATTAATTACAAATAAACAGTAAGAAAATCTTTATTATGTTTGGTGTGAATGAGAATGAACTTCTATAAGCAATTATAAATGCCAAAAACTTTGAGGAAATACTAATTTAGGATGATCACTACCCCCCAAAAAACAAACATTTCTTGATAACTTATAATCCATCTCATTCTAACTGTAAATGGCACACTGATTTTTGTCTTCACAAAACGAGTTCAGAATATGATATGCCCTAATAGCTGTGATTGGGTTGTCAATACCTTATTCACATAATTTTTTAACCAACTTTCATATTTTTCTGAAAATATTTCTAATGCAGTAAAATTATAAATTTGTTGTGTACATATAAAAGTTGTAGATCTGTCACAGAACTATATTTATAGAAACTACTTTAAATTGGAACAGAGAATTGTTATTGGAGCAGCATACCAAGCGAAAACTAATACTTAATTTTGCCAGCTAAAAAATGTGACGTAAATTTTTGCTATTGCTATTGTAGTGAGGAAGCAATCTAGTAGTGCCTCACTTTCTTCAAAGACGCAGGAGAACCAGCAACGCAAAGCAGAGCTGGAGAAGGAAGAAGGTAATCATGATGACAATATGTTTACATCAGTGTAGATATAGATTCGTAACCATTTAGAACCACTAGTTTATGTTCCCTATTTACCACTCTCAGTAAATGTTTATTTTAGTTGTTCATGAATACTAGAAGTAATCTAACTTATATTCATGTAATCTGCTGTTTTTATCACATAATTTATCTTTTAATGTTATATTTTATTTGGCTGGTTTTTGCTTTATACAAGGCCACTTTTCTTTGATAATTGAGTGGTGCATGTGATATTAAAATGACATAGATTGTGTTTAAGCAATTATATCATTCAAAAAAACTGTGCTTGGATTGTAGTTATTTTTTTTCATCATTTAATATACCACAGCTTGTCATGACAATAGAACTTTGAAAGAAAATCTTGCCTCCAATGTTCATGTACTGTTAAACTGGGGTTGCTATTAAAGTTACTAGCAGAGGTATAAACATTGGCTTGATTATATTATTAGTTTTGAAACATAGTCAAACCTAGCATGCTTTGGGGATCAAAGTTGACTGTAGTTAATAAAAATATTTGACACAAGATTTTTATTCTAAGTTCTACTGTAAGAACTGCATATCGCTCAAAATATTATCCATCACTGATGGTTGACTACAGATCAAAACAATAACAATTTTATGAATGGCCATTAATCATGACACAGTGTGGACAGGGTAGTAGTCAATCATATTACAGTGTAATTGTGGACAGGGTAGTAGTCAATCATATTACAGTGTAATTGTGGACAGGGTAGTAGTCAATCATATTACAGTGTAATTGTGGACAGGGTAGTAGTCAATCATATTACAGTGTAATTGTGGACAGGGTAGTAGTCAATCATATTACAGTGTAATTGTGGACAGGGAGTAGTCATTCATATTTACAGTGTGGACAGGGTAGTAGTCAATCATATTACAGTGTAATTGTGGACAGGGTAGTAGTCAATCATATTACAGTGTGGACAGGGTAGTAGTCAATCATATTACAGTGTAATTGTGGACGGGGTAGCTAGTCAATCATATTACAGTGTAATTGTGAACAGGGGAGTAGTCAATCATATTACAGTGTGGACAGGGTAGTAGTCAATCATATTACAGTGTAATTGTGGACAGGGTAGTAGTCAATCATATTACAGTGTAATTGTGGACAGGGTAGTAGTCAATCATATTACAGTGTAATTGTGGACAGGGTAGTAGTCAATCATATTACGGTGTAATTGTGGACAGGGTAGTAGTCAATCATATTACAGTGTAATTGTGGACAGGGTAGTAGTCAA